CCCAGGTATTCAAAAGTTGGTCCCACGGTATGACAAATGTCTCAATTCCGGTGGCGAATATGTTGAAAAATAGCTGGACACTTGCTGTATCTGTTGCAATAAATATTTCCATGAAATTGTGTTTTGTTTCTGTAAACGGCCCCAGGGAAACTTACTTTGTGGACGAGCCTCGTATATTATCATTAACGAATGAGTCTAACACAATGAAACGATATATTTCAACAGGCTACTTAAAAATTATGCGTACGTGTCAGAAAACACACACAGACACACGCGAGTATACTTGGCGAAAATCAAAAACTCACAGGACCAGATAATCCAAAGAAATGAGATTACTTCCGGACACATGATAATATCAAATGAGCTTTTAAGTTCTCACATCGGCGAGTTTAAAGATGACTGTCTCCTGGGTTGTTGCGTCCTGCAGTCTAGTAGAAGTTCATCGACGTTTCAGAGGTGCTTGCCGCCTCAGTCATGAGGACGATAATTATGGAGGCAGCGAGCACCTACGAAACGTCGATAAAATTCTACCAGACTACGTGGCCGTCGTTTTATTAAAAAAAGGATCTTAAATACGGTCTGAGGATGTTGACTGGATTCAATTGACTCCTGGCACAATCCAATTTCGAGCGCTTGTGTACACCAAAATGCACATGGAATTGCATTGTTCCTTGACGACGTAAGCGACTATCGGCTTCTGGTGAAACAGACTACTCTGACGCATTAAGTTCGTTACTCACACACAGCCTGTTAAATATGTACCTGTACAGTCACTGAGTCTGTATTTGAGTTGGAGAAGTAAAGCGCCTCTTGGAACATAATCCAATCTGTCTTGCACAGACGGCCATGCCATCAGCACCCCGAGTGATGGACTTCGGTGCATGTTAATCAGACACGTTCAAGTACTCGTCCAATCGCGGATTTGTAACTTCCGTCGTTGATAAAATGATATAAATGTATATCGTGCGTTCGTAGGACCCTACAGACTATTAAATGGAGCCGGTGTAGCTCTAATTTCATGTTCTTGCGTCCGTCATGTCGTTATTACCGATTCGCAATTGAAATTAAAATTGATAGACAGCAACACAAGTATGTAATTTGATAAGTGTAGCCGAAGTTGCTTTGTGAGCTTTATTTTTTACACTAGTAATATTAATTTAGCAACTTGGAACAAGAAGTACATGCACATGGATCCATCA